TATATTGAGATGGTTTTTGGTACTTACACCACAAATATATATTCTTAAGGACATCAAAACCTCAAATAAAACTCAAGAAAGGCGTACAATATGGGACCTTTAAGAAATCAGAGCACAAAGTGCAAAACTAAAAATTTAGTTAGTGGGTTGTCTAAATAACTAGGTCCCAGGCATCCTGTATAATTAAATTGGTTCAAGGTAATTGCACAAAAGTCTTATTCCTTAAAAAAACAAAAACTAAATAAAAAACAGGAAGACCTATGGAATCAGATGCATAAAAGCATTGCTCACAGCAGGCAACATGAAATTAGATAATAACCGTCTTTAAATGTATTGATGAAGTAAAGACAGCAAATTTGTTACAAAAGTGGTTTTTTAACATGCTGGCAGTAATTTTTTTTAAACAAACTAGGTGTTGCCTAAAGTATTTTGATGCTGGACAAGTAATCGACCATCCAGACCCACTGTTATCACCATACCAGAGATCACAGAAAGACAGACCTTCCAATGCTGACTGACACCTTTTCTAGTCGTAAGTTTAACTTTAGTAATTTTGTTATGTCGTTTTGTCATTTAGTTTTTGTTAGGTTTCTATTTAGCTTTATTTTTACAAATTAAATATAAATATATATATATATATATATATATATATATATATATATATATATATACATTCCTTGGACATAGTTGTAGGAATGAGGCCTGAATGACTTCTGACTATTTCAGAAGTATCACTTCTATGCTTTTCTGGAATCTTGCTTTTGATTATAAACACTGACAGAGAACCCTTTATACAGATTTCATATTAACTCTATGAACTCATAAGGTCCCTGGCACCATCCAGACACACTGGGTTGAGACTGATGACATGGTAGAGCAGTGAATTGATTCACAACATCGATGATGACCACGGTGACTGCAGTAACTGCAATAACAACACAGCATCGATCATGCCCTACTGCTGCCCGATACTGCCGAGTAAGCATACTGGTAAAAAAGGCTGCGTGTGTATGTGTGTGTTTTTGTGTTTGTTTACAGAACCAGAACTGAATACTTCTAATAAGTACCTACTCACAGCTGTTGACAACTGAAATTAATGAATAAGAGAAAATGAGAGAGACACTGGTTTGGTCCAGCTCTCTCGTATCCTGATATGTACTGTGTCCTGGAAAGGCCTTTCCGATGGGCTCAATAGACAGGCCATGCTTGCATTTTCTTTTCTTTTTTTTTTGGTGGCGGTTAACAAAAACCAAAGGCAAAATAGCAGCAAACAGCACTTTTACACAGCCACTGCTTTTCATTTGCACACAAAAACAACAGAGGGGAGAGGTGGCCTGCTGTATGACAACAGACAATACGCTAAACTGACTTTCAGGTTAAAAAAAAAAAAGTTGGCTAAAGTGAAAATTTCGGAATTTCTACAGAGACTCGTACATACTCTTTTCCAGGAGAAAACCCTAAGGGTGTACTCAGGGCCGTCCTTAGTTGACGCGGGGCCCAGTGTGAGGTAGGGAGCGGGGGCCCCCCTAGGTCTGTTTGCAATCACGTTCCGGGGGGGGGTCCCCCTTGGTCCGTTCACCGCAGGGCCCAGTGCGACCGCACCAGTTGCACCGCCATAAGGATGGCCCTGGGTGTACTGTTATTGCCCAAGTGTTGCCTAACCTCTAACGCAGGCCCAGGCAGTGAGAAGCCCAGCTCTGAAAACACACAAACACAGATACAGCTCTGGAAAACTCATAGTAGAGAAGAATGCCCAAAAAATACAATGTGGTGGAGCCTCCACATTCAACACACCACTGGGTTAACTAGTAAACAACATGACAACAATAGAACTTCATATATTAAATTATTTTAGGGGGCAAATTGGGGGAATTTAAAAGCATAGGTCACGCAAAAATTTAACTTCTGTCATAATTTACTCATTTTCAGACCTAAGAATGTCACTACACACAACACCACTCAATTTCTCAACATCTCACACAAATGAACCGACTTGTTACCTAACTAGACTAGTAACAACCGACTTGAGACTTGACTTGGACTCTCTTAAATTGTCTTTACATTTTCCATTTTAAAATTGTATAATCATTTTAATATAGCACTTTCCTACAAACTCAAGGTCACTTTACAAGTTGCGAGCACATATAAATTAGAACAACAACAACAAAACAACAACTCCTTTAGGTATAAAGGAGAAACATTTTTAGACAGTTTCAATAAAAAGGAGTCTGTGACATTTACTTTGCACAAAAAAAGATATCTAAAAAAGAAGTAGGCATTTAGAAAAATAAAAAGGCTTGCATAAAAAGTTGTTTAGTGGTTTTATTTTTAGGAAATGTGACTTTCTGAAAGAAAAAAAAATACAATATACAAGAGACTTGACTTGGACTCTGTGTTAAAGACTTATATACCTACAGAACTGACATCAATGCTCAAGTTCAAGTAAACAGATCCATTTCAGCTCATAGTCACGGACATCAAAATGCTGACAGCGTCATAATCGAATGTGGCATTTCAAAGTTGGCAAGCAATCATTTACTCTGCCTAATGTGATGAAATTGGCATTAACCCTCTGTAGTCTGAGGCGTTTTTTTGGGCCCTAAAGATGTGTTGGCATCTATATAACGTTTTAAAACATACATAACAGTATTCAAATGTAAACAGTTAAAATAATTATTGACATTTTTATGTAGAAGTGATGCCAACCAAATATTGAGGCTCATAAGAAATGCACTTGACATATAGTTAATACAAATGTTGTTAAAGAGCTTCAGAGCACAGGGTCCAACGTTTGCATTTACTCAAAGGCACGTAATTGAAAAATCTCAAAACTAAGAGAATAAATATTTGAAAAGGTGGACATACTTTCAAAAAACATTATTGACCCATTATGGTTATGTTTATCTTGATCACATTTTTGTTTTGGTGACTTAAAAGCAAGAAATATCCCACATATATCATCAGCCACATGGAATTCTGGAGACAACAAGCCCTTTAGGCATACTAGATCGACGAATGATAAATAATGTAACGTTAGACATAAAAATATGGATGTATTATGTCGCAGCCTCAACTGACTCGACATTTTGTTTGTCCAACAAACGATATAATGCACATCCCGTATTTTCACGGTAAAACATTATTCATCGTCAAAGCCATAACTAACACACACACACACACACACACACACACACACACACAATCTTTTCCTGTGATCAAAACAGAGCACTTGCACGCGACGTTAGCGTTAGCAGCTCAGCTTTGTCCAAGCCCATGAGATGCAAAACCGATTAAAAGACGGTTTACCTGTGTTTATCAAGCGCTGGCGCGGCGTTTCTCTGATTTCGGTCCGTATTTTGCCGTCCCTCTGTATTGTTACATCGCGTGAATCGCTCAGCGGCTATTTTCTGTCAACGGCTGGCGTGAATAACGGTGCCCCCAGCGTGCGCGTTACCTTGACAGCGTCGAGTCTTCTGCTAAAGCGCGACAAACGCTGCCCTGTGCGCATGCGCAGACCGAAGCCTTGACCACCTCCCACCAAAAAAATAAAAATAAAATAAAATAAAAAACTTGGCACCGAGTGGAGCAGAAGATGAAGATGAAATTAGCACTTTACCTCTGAAATTTCCACAAAAAAGTCAGTGAATATGGTCCAGTAAGGTAGACTATATTGCGTCGTTTCAGTATGTGCTGTCGTCTGATAAATGCCCGTGTTACGCGTGAAGCCAGTGTAAGCACAAAAAAGGGACGTAAAGACAAATGTATGAGCTTTTCTTAACAGAAAATTGTGCAAATTCAAGTTTTGAAAATGAGAGCTTAGATTATGCATGATTTGCATCCGATTCCATTCAGTATTTTATCAGTAGATGGCAGCATCGTTGATGGTAATACATAAAACAAAATGCACTAACGTTATATACTTTTAAAAATGTACAAATTTAACAGTAATGTACAATTCTTAAGTACTTGGTTAAAGTTACCTGTAAAGTTACCTAAAGTTATATGTGACCCTGGACCACAAAACCAGTCATAAGGGTCAATTTTTTTAAATTGAGATTTATACACTATCTCAAAGCTGAATAAATACTCTTTCCATTGATGTATGGTTTGTTAGGACATGACAATATTTGGCCGAGCTACAACTATTTGAAAATCTGGAATCTGAGGGTGCAAAAAAATCTAAATATTGAGAAAATCGCCTTTAAAGTTGTCCAAATGAAGTTCTTCAAATGAAGTGCATATTACTAAACAAAAATTAAGTTTTGTTATATTTACAGTAGGAAATTTACAAAATATCCTTATGGAACATGATCTTTACTTAATGTCCTAAGGATTTTTGGCATAAAAGAAAAATCAATAATTTTGACCCATACAGTGTATTTTTACGCTGTCCATGGTCCTGGAAGCAATTTGATTCCATTGTAGGTAGATGTACCCAAACTCTTCAGGATATGCTTCACTTTACACACCTTTACAAACACAGAGACCATCACAGCGAGGTGTACTGCAGAAGGAATTATAATCGTCTTTTATTAAATTAATAGCAGCTTAACAAAATTATACCATTGTGAGGGTAATGTTTGTTTTGTTTTGTTTTTTAACCAAAAAAGGAATTTGGTAAAACATTCACAGGCTATGGCATAAAAATGGGAGTTTGAACAAGGGAAGGTGATACAGGAGAAATTATAAGGTTATACACAGAAAAACAGCAAGAATTTACAGTTTTATACATTATAGGTTCCTAGACATCCTCAAATTAAAATTTTTGGTCTTACAGACCAACATCTGTTGCCATGGACAGTCCGTCCATATAAAGTAAATGGTTTTAGTACTCTTGTCTGTTGTGCAATTTTGCTTCTTCTCTCACTCTGTCATGACCACCTGATGAGGCAGCACACAACTAACCTTACATTCACAGGAGAGCTTGTTACCGAGAACTAGAGGCTAATTCCCTCAATACCTGCTGAAAAAAAATCCTTGAGAAGCAGTTTGGACTGGACTAAAACCGCATTTGTTATGTCTTAGCATTAGAGATGCAAATTGAAATTGTTTATCCAATTTTTATGTTAAGTATGACTTATACCCCATTGTCAAGTTGCTGTTTTCTAGGTCACTGTAACAAGTGATTTAAAGAAAACTAGAGTTTAGCAGTCATTTCCTCTGCATTGTTAGACCAGGAAATAAGATATAACCCCTAACTGTGTTATTGGTTTACTGCAACTCAAAGGATTCATCATATCGTACTGGAGATGTTTACAAGTTACACAAACAATGATCTGACTTGCAAGTGTATTTAGACAGCATCGCTCCATCCATATTGTAATGCAACTAGCTTGGATGACACAGTAACTCTTTTTAAAAAATTTTATTCACACTTTTTGTAATTATTCAACTGACCACAAGAGGAAGCTATGACTCTATCTGTCGTATATTCGCATGAACTGCAGTCTTGTATGTCCAATGCCGCTTTAGTAAAAGACTGGGTGCTCATGCAGGACTTAATGGCATTCAAACATCTGAACCTGTAACCACAAACACACACACACACACACACGTTACATTCCCTCTCCCTTTTCTGACCTTGGCCAGATTATTGTTTCTGTAGCTAACTAAGCATACATTCTATGCTGTGATACAACTGAGGTTGCGTAGACAGCTGATGTCTCCTAAACATGACTTGTAGCTCAGTCCTGTTTTCCACGTCACACTAAAAGATAGTTTTCAGACACTGCTGGTGTGTTCTGTGTGGCTGTGACCACTGCTGATAGACAGCTCTGATATTCCTGGTTTCAGCTCCAGTCCGGGCTCAGTGCCCATGTCATGGGGCTCCAGATTTCGAATTCCATTGCCGTCCCCATTGCGGCAGTTACTGTTCCGGTCAATGGAAACTTTTTCGCAGATCAGGATGGGAGTGACTACTGCATGGGATGGACAAGGAGCGTGTATAGCGATGGGATTAAGCCCCACCCGTCTATACTGGCAGTGCATGTAACTTGAAAACGCTCTTCGGTAGGTCTTGTTAAACAAAGTGTACACTAAAGGATTGACTCCTGATGAGATGTAGCCCACCCAAACGAAAACATTGAGCAGTTCTGTTAGCACAGGCTTATTACAGGCTTTGTGGCAGAGGACATACAGAACATTAGTGATGAAAAAGGGACACCACATGACAAGGAAGAGGAAGAACACTACACCCAACACTTTGGATGCTCGTCGCTCGTTCTTGATGGCCTGCATCATGCCTCGCCGTCCATGGGTTCCGGTTGGGTCCCGTCCAGCAGGCGAATTCATTTGAGATGGTGCTTCTGAACTTGGGATTATTGAGATGGTGTCTGGGGGCACGGTCAGACCGAGCATGTTTCCATCGCTGTTGCTGATCCGTAGACAGTTCAGACTGCTGCGACGGGAGGCTGGTGGCGGGGCCAACTGGGAAGTAGGTGGAGCTGGAGGTTGCAAAGGCTGTTGAGAAGAGGCTTTGTCCTCATAGAGGAAGACTGTGGCCTGACGCTGAAGCGCTTGGACGGTGAGACAATAAGTAACCACCATGATGACCAGAGGAATGAAGAAGGCAACAAAAGAGCCAACCAGTATGAAGTGTTCCTCATTTAGAGCACAGTTGCCGTTTTTCAAGACCTTTTCTCTGTTATGCAGTCCAATCACTGGGATAGGCATTGAGATACCTGTGTTGGAAGAAGTAATAGAATATTAAACAAATACATATAAACAAATATCAAAGAAACAGTCCGACTACAAAATGAGAATGAGACAACTGGAATACAAGATGCCGGAGACGACAGACCAACGGCCTCAGCGAATCACACTCAGAGAGATCTATCCTCAAGTCAATTCCTCTCTCTTATCCAGCTTGATCAGTATTCCTGATGGTTAAGACAGATGATCTTTTATTTAATTAGAGCAGATAAATCAGACTGTCAAGGCAGATAGAGCCTTAATGCTGTTTTGGATCCATATAAGAAACAAATAAACATTGGGCTCACGTTTAAGTGGGACAGAGGTTAGATGTGTGAACACTCTGTCATCTGCACTAACGTTACTTAGTCTAACTCAGGGGTTCTCAAAGTTTTTGGGGCCAGGGAGCTATTACAGCAGAGAAAATTTTCCAAGGACCCCCTCATAGTTTTAACTATGATTAAGCATACTGTACAGTGTTACTGTGTTATACTGTGCTTACTACAATTTGTACTCTGAGATGAAATTGGAACTTCTGTTTTAATGTTTCTGTATTCTTCTTCTTTTTTCAATTTCCTGGACTCATTTAATGGTTAAATTAAATTGTAGTAATCAAAAATCACATCTAATTAACTGAAATCATAAAACTTAGAAATAGTAAAAACAATTATTATCATTTTCTAACAGTAATAGGGCCCTATAAAATACTTTCTTTCTTTCTTTCTTTCTTTCTTTCTTTCTTTCTTTCTTTCTTTCTTTCTTTCTTTCTTTCTTTCTTTCTTTCTCTCTCTTTTCATGTTTTTTCCCCCTGGATGTGTGATTTAATATAAATATATTATTAAAAACGGTGGTAATAAGATGAAGGCATAAAACATTAACTTTTAAAATATAATAAAACGAAAATGTAACTATTACTTTAATTTTTGCCAAACAAATTGTTGCATAACAGAGGTTTACTGTTAAAGTTTAAACATGAAAGAAAGAATTGTGTGGGCATTACTGTCAGTATTTCTTCAAGTCAAAGTGGATTTTGACGGACCTTTGAGTTTCTGTGTGTGTGTGTAGCTATATATGACAAGATGATAGTTTTTCTCAAATGAAACGGTGAAATGCTCGTGAAGTGACTCTCAGAGCATTTCTAAAGATGAAGTTCATGTGTTCTTGTCCTCATATAGTGAGACGGCAGACGTGAGAAACACCTCTAACACCACGTAGGCTTCAGTATGTGTGTAGACACATGCATTTTCTGTAAAGCTGCTTTGAAACAATGTGTATTGTGAAAAGCGCTATACAAATACATTTGAATCAAATTTAATTGAATAGTAGATAAAAGAAGAAAATAGAGTTTTTTTTATCTTTTTGAGGAAGTTTAGCAAGAGGAAGAGATAGAGAGTGAAAGCTAGAGTCTTTTTAATTTCTATACTTAACCACAACTACCAGTAATATCAATGCAGACAAGTCTTTTAACTCTGCTGTTGGAACGGATTAGTCATGGTCACTCTACATTATGTCAAAAGTCAGACTCTAGATGGCGCTAATGCATTAGCATGCCAATCCTTTAGCATTCCACACACAATGACAGACTGTGGTTTACTTTATTGAACAGTAGGTGGTGATCTTCACTAAAAGTATCTGATTACCAGACCAATCATAAACATTCAATTAATCCAAGTTTCTCTGAATTTCGAGGGGCTAGTCTGGGTGATGGAGAAAATCACCACAATCACCAAACTGGTGCTTGTTTATACAATGTCATTTCAAATCTTTTTCAGTGTTGCTGATCTGAGGGGCCTCTTAGACCCAGCTGGAGCCTTGAGAAAACCTCACAACACAATCTGCCATTCTGAGGGGTCCTGTGAGATACAAACACATTCCAGTAATAGATTCAACAGGATTGCAGTGGACTGACATTCACTTTAGTAGGTACAAATGTTACAACTGTTCAATCTAAAGACCTCCACTGACATTGAAAAATAATTGTGTTTTTCTGCAGGTTCTGGCTGGTTATTTGGGATTGATGCACAGTTCCAGTGAATTTATTATTATTATTATTTTTTAAATGTTGTAAGAAATAATGCTTTTTTTCAAGTTCATTATATCAATGTTTCTCTGACCTATTGAAATGGTCCAAACTGCAGCAATCTTCAGCATGGCCTTGGTGCGGGAGTTGAACCGACTGTGCTCGATCGGATTGCATATGGCCACGTAGCGGTCAAGGGAAATGGCACACAGGTGCATGATGGAAGCAGTAGAGAAAAGCACATCCAGATATATCCAAATAGGACAGAGAGCGCTGGGCAATGGCCAGGCATAATCTGGAAAACAAAGAGAGAGATTGCTTTGTAAACACCCTTAATGAAACAGTCCTAGACATGAAGAATAATGCTGGGAAAGAAAGAAAAAGAATAGTTAGCTAAGAGAAACAGAAGGTAAAGTGGTCTTTCAGATCACATTATAAAAGTTCAGATGACTGTTTTCAGACCAAGAGCTAAAAAAGGCTATGTCAGCAGGCTTAAAATAACCAACATTAAGAAACTGTGAGGTTATGTAAAAAGTAAGTCATTTAGAGTTGTGTAGGCTTATGGATGAGAGCAACAGATACAAAGTCACACTGGGTCTTAGAGACAAAACCAGAATTATTAAACAGATAGTTCCGGTCCTGGCTTCTGATTTATCAATACAATGTTCCAGTCATTCTAAAATCCTCGAAATAGCAAAAGGTATGATGTATAACACCTGTTCACTACAATTTTGTCTAAAACAATATTTTAATAAAAAATTTGTGTTTAATACAACTTAATAAAACCACATTTTTAGAGTGGTTTGGTGTGCAAAAGTCACCAGTAAGATGTTAGGATGTTGTGGGTGTCACATGGAAGAACCATTTTGGGCCCCCCCCCCAAAAAACCTTTCAGTCAACAGTTCTTAAAAGAACCACTTTTGAGAAATTTTTGAAGAACCTTTCTCCACTATAAATGAAAAGTTCTATGGATGTTAAAGGTTCTTTATGGAACCATAGATGCCAATAAATAATGTTTATTTTTAAGAGTGTAAGATGTTTTGGGTTGTTGTCAGGGCATTTTCTAGAGTGTTTCTAAGTGCTAGATGGCTACTAACTGCCCCGCATCGAAAGTTCCCATTCCCAAACCTCATATTTTGAGGTAGCGTTCATGTCTGTTCAGGGCAACTTGTTGCACCATCAATAGTAATAGTGATGTTTGCTTTAGCTCTAATAAACATAAGAGTTTCTGAAGACCAACATTCAACTTCTTGCTAAATTTTAGTTCCACAAATCTTGAACTAAACAAGAGTTTGGAACAAGTAATGATACCTGTAATACAAAATTTCAAGCTTCAATAGCTAGGCTTTTAGGTGACAGAAGGGGCAAAATGAAAACATCCCTCAAGAGGACATGCTCTAATGCAGGGTCAGATACTCTTACAGAAAGGTCTACAGGTCTAGAGGGGTATATCTGACGATTCAGATGACATTAGCACCACATGAGGTGTGAGTCAGTGTCAATTTAGCGTTTTATTGAAGCCCAGGGTAAGCGCAGGCACTCCAATCATGGGCTGAATGAGACTGGTCCAAATCCAGACAGCATTGTGGAGCTCAGAACACCTGGACTGGAGAGGAGGGGAACGTCTGGTGCCAAGTTAGCAAAATTAATGATAACAGAGTTCTCTGCCAGAACTTTTTTCCTCTCCTCATTTATTTGTCCATATCTCTGTGGTGGTCCCATTCATGTTCTGCTGTCCACCGAAATAGCCCGCAACACATGCAATTACACCTTTCCTAAATGAGAAAAAATGACAGCAGCAGATCTGCGAGGTTACAGATTATGGGGTTAATTAAGGGGTGAGCGAAAGAGATAAAGTGGGATATAGAGGAGGTGGGGTATGTGATGGAAGGTGAAAAGTGAAGGAATTAGGCCAGATTCAACCTCTCAAATGAAGGTTTAATTCCTGCAGGCAGCCAGTGTTGTGGAGTAACTAAAAGTAGTGATCAGCACTGATTCATATAGTCATATTGTGCATGCAGCCCTACAACTGAAGCAATAATCAAACATTCTACTAGAATATCCTCTTTCAGGTAGTGAAGGAAAAGAAGAGGAAGAAGCAGCAGCACAGATTCATTTGAAATTCCTGCACAGCATTTATTCTTTTCTGTTGCAGAATATATATAAAAAAAGTAAAATATATATTTTTTAATTCTAAGTTCTAAATATTGTTTGTTTATTTAAATGTATTAGCTATATTAATTATCATGCTGTCACTGTACACTGAAAAGAAAGATTATTTAATGGCACTGATGGTTCTATTAAGAACCTTTAGCATCCATGGACTCTTTCCTTTGTACAAAAGGTTCTTTGTAAGGCAAAAGTTTTTTTTAGATGATTGAAATATTCTTCACACTAAGAAAAATGTTTCTTTCAAAAACCGGTCACCTAAAGGTTCTTTCAGAAATCCATAAACAATTTTCTATGGCATTGCTGCAAAACCTTTGGAACCTTTATAAGTGTAAATGAGAACATTGTCTTGATACATATAGTATGTGTGTGACCTGGTAATCAAACCCATGACCTTGGCATTGGTGTGGCTATATGAGGCGGAACAAGAACTGGGGGGTTGAAACATAATTAAGATGGCATGGGGAGCAACATTTCCTCACATGTCAACATGCAACTTCATCTGCATGTTGATGACAGAAAACACACACTAATTTAACGGTCTTTCATCCCTTGACTGGTCCAGCTGCCTACAGCCCTTTGCATCTTGCTTTGATTAACTGAAAACATGGATAACTCAGCCCTGATTTACATGTATAGTAGATTAATTTATCTCACAGTGCAGTCAGAGAAGGAGTGTTGGAACACTATAGAGACATGAAAAATCATCTGTTGCTTTCTGTGCACCACTGATATAACTCAAAGTTAAAGAACTCTTTAGGCTCTTTCAGCAATTTTCAGACATCCATGATGAACAACTTACCTCATGGCTTTCACACACATGCTTTCACTCATTGATAAATGTGGATTCTCTAATAAGTGTAATAACTAATATTGCTCCTGTAGCTTAGCTACTAGACTATGGTGCTAGAAACACCTAGATTAATGGTTCAATTTCAAGGGAACATGTATGCGCACAAAAATATATAGCTTAAATGCACTTTAATTTAATATGATTAAAAGTACCTGTCAAATGCTGGCATGTATATGCCATATTTTAACATCCAAAGCAATATCAATCAGCAACTGCCTTCTATGAAA